GAAACAGGTGTGTCAACATCGCATCTCCACCGGGATGTTGTACTTTCAGCCATGGCCCGAAGCATGTATCCTCAAACATTTTTCTTTGTGCAGGTGAAAGCTTCGACGCAATTGTTTTGGCCAGGCTGACTTTATTTCTCAAGGTCAATTGAGCCGAATAAAAGTTCTACAAAAACAATAAACATACTAAATTAGATATACCAAAAACTACACTGTGAAGATATACCAAAAACAATAATAAACATAAATAGTAGTAGTTTATTCTTCAAACTTAAATATGCAACACTGTGAATTTCGTATTTGTCTTTGTTTTTTGGTTGAAGTAATGCAATTCATTCAAGTTTCAATTTGCAGAAGAAGAATAGTTTCTGAAAATGAAAATCGCAACATGAAAATGACTATCGCAACGAGAGAATCGCAACGCGAAACTAAAATCGCGTTGCGATTTGCATTTCGCGTTGCGATTCTTGGTTGATTTAATAAACAATCTAAGTGAAATGGTTAATCTATTATTGAAATTACCAGTAAACCTATCATCAATTTCAATATGAAAAACCTAATAATAATGCAAAAATTTCAAAAAGAAAATAATTAAAAAAACTAACCCTCGTTGGTTGATTTGGTTGATTTTCCATTTCTGATTGTTAGGGTGGCTCTGAGAGATTTAGATAGACGGATTTCGCCGGAGATGGGGACGGATTTCGTCGGAGATGGGTGAGAGAGTGAGAGATGGAGATGGGACTGAGTTGTGATTTTAGGTTTTAGGTTATGAGTTGCGATTACGGGATATACTGTGGACAGTTCAGTGTTCTAATATATTTATATTCATGTTTGGAATTTAAAAATAAAATACTTGGCCAGGATACTAATGGCGCTTTGAAAAATCGCATTGCGATTATGTATTATCGCGTTGCGAAAGTCAGTATCGCGTTGCGAAAGTAAGTATCTCGTTGCGATTTTTTATTATCGCATTGCGATAGTCAGTATCGCATTGCGATTTTCTCAATTCGCGTTGCGATTTACTTATTCGCATTGCGAATTTCCCAATTCGCGTTGCGATTTACTTATTCGCATTGCGAATTGGGAAAATCGCAACGATACTGTAGACCATCGCAACGCGATTTTCAACTATCGCATTGCGAAAATGCAACGCGTATTTGCGATAATGGAGATCGCGTTGCGAATTAGCGATCGCATTGCGATTTTGTTGGTCATTTTGGCAAATCCGGAAAAAGTTGGTTAAAATCGTATATTATATGGGATTTTTGGTCACTGAGGTTATTTTCTCTTAAGAAAAATTATAAATAGATACTACTTTGTAATAATCGATACTACTACTAAAAAAAATGCATAATAAGAGTTTTTTTTTTTGTAATTATCACAGATCATATTAGGACCTCTAAACTCGAACCTGGTCGAATCAATTTTTTCTTTTTAAAAATTGAAATTAACCTAATCGAAATTCATTAAAACCGAATCATATAAAAATTTATCAAATTCGAGTTTCATCAACATCCTTATATATAATCGTAAATTTATATCAAAAATTCAAATTTCATGATATGTAATTTATATTATTTAAAATTTAAGTTAATTAATTTTAATAAATTTGAATTATAAATATGTTATGTATTATAATATTTATATTAATATAAAATTTATTATTTTATTAAATAAATAAATAATAAAATAAAAGTACTATTATACCTGAATTTGACATGATTGGAATTCACTTGCTAAGCGTTGGACCAAGTCTAACCATACATGTATTTTATTTAATTTTGATTTGATGGAAGTGGTAAAAGCATAGAAATCAAAATCTTATCATGATATTTTTCAATAAAGGAATTGCTTTTATAAAGTTGGATCATGATTTTTATCTTATTGTAATGAACCAACTCAAGTCCATGCATGATTATGACATTGATAAGTATTAATGAAATAAATATTTTATAGGTATAACATAATAAATATAATTTGTAACTTTTTTAGTGAAATGCGTCCTAGGTATGACATAATATAGTATAATTAACAATTTTAATTTATATTAAAGTTAATAGTATTAATGAATAATTTATGTTTATAAAAAGTAGTAAATGATTTTAGCATATTAGTGCATTTAAAGAAAAAAACAAAAAATACATCCTCCGTCCAATAAATATTCTTCCAAGCTTTCACTCATTTTTTATACTATCGTTTTCAAGACTTCGTATTGAATAATTCAGATCGATTCATGTCGCATACTTAATTTTAGTCTCGCGTTGCACACTTAATTTTAGTGGATAAGTCTTCCAGTAAGAATTTTTTATATATACAATGACTGGAATTTAAAACCTTACTTAAACGATATCATATTGCTTACCACTTGAACTAACCCGTTGATTTCGAAGTTTTCACTCATTAATCTCTAATAACCTTTTAAAATAATCTAATTAAAACGATTTGATTAGAAATTGTTAAGAACAGAGTAATATACTTTACTTTTTGAGGATTGAACCACAGTTTGCCACGTAAGGTCAAGAGAGCGAAAGATAACATCCTTACTTCAGTCACGTGTCAAAGTTGTCCGACGAGGTACTACTAGCTGTCGTTCATCGGGTGACTGTAGTTTCACTGCTGCTTCTGCTTTCAGTTTCTAGTTTCTACACGGCGGATTCAGGTTACGTCACGAGCATATCACGTGAGCATCACCAGTCAAACACGCTCGGTCGCCTTCCTCAATTTCCACGCTCCTCTCTTATCGTACAAGTTCACTTACTATATTAATGAAATTAATAATGATTTTTAGGGAAAATTAATATATATTTTTACCAAAACAAAACATAAATCAATAAACCCTTGTTCTGCTTTATGATATATATTTTTTATGTCTTTGTTCTATTTATAGTCGATAGGTGAATTAAGTTTTAGTTTTATTAGTATCATTATTAGTAATTATATTTTTTTGAGGTTGTATATACATACATATATTATTAATCTATAGATAATATAAGATAATATCTATTTAAAGATAACTTTTAATTATTTAATATTGAATACTTTTACTTTTGACATTCATAGTGGTCGAATCCAGAATTTTAAGAGATAACAATAATTTTTTTATCATCAAGGTCGCTTGATTCATACTTAAGGTTATATATTTAAATATATTTAAGTGTATAATTATATGTTATTTAAGAGTTTAATAAATTGGATATTAAATCTGATTGACAGAATGACACCTATCTCAAATTTAATCTTTGATTTCTGTTTCTAATTAGTTCTTAGTTGAAATTAATATTAACTTTATTTTCTAGACAAATTCTATCTATTACTTTATTTTTTGTCGGTTATAAATTAATTAAATATTAGTTCACTTAAAAATATTAAAAAATTATATTATAAAAAACTGAGAGTTTTCCCCCACAAATCACATATATTTTATATAATTTTTAGATACAATAATTAATCACAATGAAATATGAGACGATATGTCCCAATTGTTATGATTTAAATAATAAATTTTAGAACTTTTTAATTTTAAAGCCAATAAAATTAAGTCATAATTTCTTATTTTTTTATAGTTTATTTATTTTTAAATCTTTCGATTTTAAATTAATAAAATAAATATTAAACATGTACTTTTTATAATTTAATTGTTTTATAAAAATATTGTTGTTTTAAAATTAAATAATTTAACTCTTTTTTTGGTTCAATCTTGATTACATTCTTATCCAGAATAAATTACAAAAGTAATAAATTTATATACAAATTATTACTACATTATCTATTGAATAAATTTTTATTGATATATGTAAATTGAGAAGAAAAAAAAATCAAATGAAGTCTGTGGACAAAACATGACGGGGATTGTTTCAAACACTCTAGGGAGGCGCGTGGAATCAGCGATTACGCCACGCATTTCAAGAAAATAAAGTAGGAAATATCAAGGAATGTAGCTGAACGTGTGAACATGGTCGGCGTGCCGTTAGTTTCCTTTTAACGTCGTCAACTCACGCAGTATAAAAATTAGAGATGTAGATGAATAGAATATTCGATAAACTGTTCCTGAATCGTTTATATGATGTTTATATATTAAGTTAATAATCAATTATGAATAAAATTTTTATGTTTATTTAATAAGCAGACGAACATGAATATGTTCAGTTTATTTTTATTCATGAATAAACTAACTTGAAAATTTATTTATTGACTTGTTTATATGTTTCTTACTTGGTTTCTTTTTTTTTTCTCTTTTATATTTTAAATATTAATGAAGATAGAAACTAAATTGAATAAATGATGAACTTTAAAGTTTAAAATGTAAAACTTAATAAATTTAAAGATTAATAATATAATTTCACTATTTTGACATACATGTTCACGAATATCCTAATAAATAAATAAATACAAATTATAACTTTATTCTTTTAAGTTAGATTCATTTAGGCCCGTAACAAAAACAAACGACTCCTCCAACATTTTGAACAGCGGTTACCGTTACCATTGTCATCTAAAATTCCGTTAAATAATCGTCCGCTGTTTCCCTATAAATTGATGACTCACTCGCCTCGCCTGCTTCATTTTTGTTTCTTCAATTTCAAACTTTGAAAAAAAGATTAAAACAAAAAGTCCAAGTCTTACTGAAAGAATAAGAATTTTATTATTTTATTAATTTGGAGCTTTGGATTTTGATTCCTCAGAAACAAGAAATTCAAGGTAAACTTTGCAAATTGTGTATTAAAATTGGCTTTTTTTAAGGTGATTTTCTCCTTTATTTGAATTAGATTCTTTATATTTGTTTCTGGGTTATCATTTTGGGTTGTGTTGGTTCGTTAGGAAATGAAAAAGCAGCTGACTTCGAGTGTTTGGTATATGGATTGAAGAAACTTTGGTATCTTAAATGCTTACATTTTAGTTTTCATTATGTAAACAAAAGTTTTTTATTAGTATTTTTCCTTTTATGGGAAACTTTGATTTTAGTTTTTCCATCTGTTTGTGGAATGTTCCAATAGGTTGGGTATTTTTTTAAAGTTCACCGTTCTTTGCAGGTCAATTTTGATTTCCTGAAGGCATAACTTGAATTACAGTGTCGAAGTTCCTCATAATTATTGTGACAAGGTGGTTGGAAATCCTGTCCTTTAACTTGCTGTAAATTTCCTGAGATCTCATCATTGTCTTGGAAAGCTGATGCCAAACTCATAGTATGGACTCGCACCAGCTTTTCAGATACGGTGTGGCCGGCGGTGGCCTATCGTACTCAACCTCTTATTCAACTTTTCCTTCAATACCTAACAGGCTGTTTAGTTCTTTGAAATCTGACATAGGAAACTCACCCAACTCTCCCTTTTCGACTCCATTTGATTGTGATACCAACACCACATTGAGTGATAGCCAGGAGCAGCATAGCTCTACGGAGAATCTCTCCGGACTTAGCCCTTCTTGCAACTCTTCACTTGAATCCAATACTTATTTCCATCGATTGAGTCCACAAGATGCATATTCTGGCCACAAAGTAATATACACTCTGCAGGAATTGGAGACCGCGCTTATGGCGCCCGATGAGGATGAAGAGATAACCACCCCTAGTGTTTCCCGTGGAGAAAGTAGTAGACCACAGACAACCGGCCAGCGATCTTTGGTGCTTCAGCCTCAGACAGCCTTTGTCTCTAGCTGTAGGCAGTCAGGTGAAGTTGCTCACGTTGAGAAACATCGGAAATCAATCGATGGTTTGTTTCTGCAGGATATTCCTTCCGGCAATCTGAAGCAGTTGCTGATTGCTTGTGCTAAGGTCCTCTCTGAAAACTATATTGCTGAATTTGATAAGTTGATCACCAAGGCTAAGGATGCTGTGTCCATCAGTGGGGAACCGATCCAGAGGCTTGGTGCTTACTTGGTGGAAGGTTTGGTGGCAAGGAAAGAAGCATCAGGGTCGAGCATGTATCGTGCCCTTCGTTGTAGAGAGCCTAAAGGCAAGGACTTGCTCTCCTACATGCAAATCCTGTATGAAATCTGCCCATACTTAAAGCTCGGCTACATGGCAGCCAATGGAGCTATTGCTGAAGCATGCCGAATGGAAAATCGCATTCACATTATTGATTTCCAGATTGCTCAGGGAACACAATGGGTGACTCTCTTGCAGGCACTTGCAGCCAGACCTGGTGGAGCTCCTTATGTTCGGATTACTGGAATTGATGACCCTCTTTCTAGATATGCTCGTGGTGGTGGATTGGAAGCTGTCGAAAGACGCTTGGCTTCTCTGTCTGAGAAGTTCAATATTCCAGTTGAGTTTCAGGGAATGCCGGTTTTTGCAGCAGATATCACAAGGGACATGCTTGATGTCAGGCCCGGGGAGGCTCTGGCTGTCAACTTCCCTCTGCAGCTCCATCACACCCCTGATGAGAGCGTGGACGTGAACAATCCTAGGGATGGGCTTCTACGAATGGTGAAATCACTTTCTCCCAAGGTCACTACATTGGTAGAGCAAGAATCAAACACGAACACAGCCCCTTTCCTCCCTAGATTCATTGAGACTCTGGAGTACTACTTGGCAATGTTCGAGTCCATAGACGAGACACTACCAAGGGACAGAAAAGAACGAGTCAACGTGGAGCAACATTGCCTGGCCAGGGATATCGTGAACGTCATTGCTTGCGACGGAGAAGAGAGGGTTGAACGCCATGAGCTCTTCGGTAAGTGGAAGTCTAGGCTAACGATGGCCGGATTTCGACAATACCCTTTAAGCACTTACGTAAATTCGGTGATACGAAGCCTGCTGAAGTGTTACTCTGAACACTATACACTGGCGGAGAAGGATGGTGCCATCTTGTTGGGATGGAAAGATAGGAACCTGATATCAGCTTCTGCTTGGCACTGTGACAGCAGCTGAGATTCATACAAAGGTAGAAAACGAAATAATCAGTTGAATTTTTTTATATAGATTATAGATGTTGAATAGCATCCATATGAATCGGAAAGGGTGGCATTTTCGCATACCATTAAGCAAATCACCACTGTTTCCTTTTGTTAATTTGATTTCTCTTCGACAGGATTCGATGTATGTGCAAAAGAATATTGAAGGGATATGTTATGTTATATTCTGGTTTATGATTCGATGTATGTAACACAAATGTATTCCCTCTCTTATACAGAGAGAAGAAAGAATGGGTCCTTATTTTGTTTATACTTCTATTCTAATATGCTTTAGGGATTCATTTGGTGTGTTAAGAAATGAGTATTAACTCAGAAAACAATTACTGTAATTCCATTGATAAACCAGTGCAAAATTACATGATTTATATAGCAACCAGGAAGCAACCTGCTTAACAGAATTTGACAATTATAATCGTGTAACACCCCCTAACAGCCTATGGACTTGATTGCATGCAACAAAGTGTATACTACTAACTATGAGCTTAACTTCAAGCTTCTTGAATCTTCTCCATGCACAACATGAATTACACCTGCAGCCTGATCATTCTTCCAACATTCCTCCTGCTTTTTTCTTCTCCTCCTTCCTTTTTAAGACGAACATTTACTTGCTCTCGAAACACTGTAAAAGCTATCTTTAACAAAGGCTTTGTAAATCCATCTGCTAGTTGATGTGCAACAGGGACATAACTAACATATAATTCATTTCCAGCAATTTTCCCCCTGACAAAATGCACATCTAAATCGACATGTTTAGATTGTGCATGTTGAACAGAATTCGCACTTAATGATATGACACTTGTGTTGTCACACCAAACAATTGGTTTTTCATGCTGTGTTACTCTAATATCATTCAATAAGGCATCTATCCAAGTAACCTCAGCAACATCTTCAAGACTGCGATATTCGGCTTCCATGGTAGATCTGGAGACAACCTTCTGTTTCTTTATACTCCAGGACACCAAGTTACCACTGAGTAAAACGCAATGAACTGACATCGATCTCCAATCATCTACACAACCACCCCAATCAACATCCGCGAATGCAACGACTCTTAGTGTTTCCTTTGATGGCTTGAAGAGCAAACCATACTCAATTGCGCCAGTTAAGTATCTTAGGATACGTTTGGCAGCCTGCAGATGACTCTCGCGTGGTTCATGCATAAATTGAGCAACCTTGCTCACGCTGTACACTATGTCAGGTCTTGTGTGACATGCATAGAGCAGTACACCAACTATACTTTGAAACTCTTTTCGAAACTCTCGAGCGTCTTCAACAAGTTTTCCAGCTTCCTTTTGAAGTTTATTAGATACTACTATTGGTGTATAAGTAGGAGTTGCCCTTTTCATATTCGATTTCTCTAGTAATTTTGAAATAAACTTCTTCTGGGATAACATAAGACCATGAGGACCACGCTGGACTTCAATCCCCAAGAAGTAATTCAACTCACCAAGGTCCTTCAACGAGAAATTGATTTTGAGCAACTGAATCACTCATTCAATTGTTGTAACTGACTGGCCAGTGATCACAATATCATCGACATAGACAAGTATATAGGTTATTTCCCCTTATGTAAGCGAAATGAACAATGATGAATCTGGCCTCGACATATGAAACCCCATATGTATCAGGTTATCTTTCAATTTGTTGTTTCAGTTCCTGGGAGCTTGACGCAGCCCATACAAAGCCTTATGAAGCTTACATACAAGCTTGGTCCCATCCTTAGCTAACTGCTCATATCCAGGCGGTTGTTGCATAAAAACTTCCTCAGTCAGATCACCATGGAGAAAGGCGTTATTTACATCCATATGTCGTAATGGCCACTCGTTTGATACAACTATGGAGAGAATGACATTTAGAGTTGGGAATTTGACCACGAGGCTAAAGGTTTACTTGAAATCCTGTTATGGTACTTGTAGAAATCCCTTTGCCACTAATCTGGCTTTGTAACGTTGAATTGAGCTATCGGGATTTTTTTTCCAGTTTGAACAACCATTTGCATCCAACTGTTGATCGCCCAGGTGGCAGTGGAACCAATGTCCATGTTTCATTCCGTTGTAAGGCAGCAAGTTCATCATGAACTGTAGAAGTCCATTGACTCGACTTCATAGCTTGACGAATATTAGTAGGTATGACGGTATCTTCTATATCAAGAAATAGGTTTGAAAATCCCGTGCTTACTTCTGGTAACCATAGGGTGAGCATTGATCAGTGGAACCTGATTAGGAACACTAGTATCCTCGATTGGAGGCTGAGCTGACTCATTAATTTCTCCAGCACTGGCCATAGGAGAACTACTCATGTGTGAGTTTTGAGTCGAGTGATCTAAAGGTTAAATTACATTATTCAACTTATCACCATGACCCACTGTATTCTCAACAGAACTTGCCTGAGACGATGAACCAGAATGCTCCAGAATTGGTGCCGCTGCAGTGGGACACGCACTATGTCTCCGAGGAACGACCTCTAGCGATGCTGATCGTGGAGATGGAACCACGTGATGAGCATTATCCTGTTTAGCAGCTGCAAAGGGAAACACAAGTTCATCAAATTTAACGTCTACTAATAAAGATACGACTATTGGCTCCAAGACATTGAAAACCTCGATGCTGAGAGCTATAGCCCAGAAATGTACATTCTTGAGATCGAGACATCAGTTTATGGGGTTGAAATTCTTGCAGATGTGAAAAACATCTACAACCAAAAACTCGCATGGTTGTGTAATCGGGTTTCTTGTTGAATAGTTTCTCAAAAGGAGAAATATTATTCAGCACCTTAGATGGTAGTCGATTTACCAAGTATGCTGCTGTGGTTACAGCATAGGACCATAACTTGATTGGAATGGATGCTTGTGCTAGCAACACAAGTGCCAACTCAATGAGGTGTCTATGCTTACGCTCAACAACTCCATTTTGCTCGGATGAGTGAGGACATGTGACTCTATGCAAAACTCCTGCATGAGCTAACTCAGCTGTCCAGTTTCGATATTCACCACCCCAATCGCTTTGTACAGCCTTGATTGGCAATGAGAATTGATTCTCAACCATGCTCTTGAATAATTTAAAGGCAATTATAGCATGTGACTTCTTCTTCAATAAGTAGACCCACGTATGTCTGGTACACGCATCTACAAATGAGATGTAATACCGATAACCAGCTGAGGGCTCAGGCGAGGGCCCCCAAAGATTAGTGAAAACGAGTTAAAATGGTTCATCATACACCATGGTTGAGTCAATAAAAGGCTGCTTGTGGCTTTTACCCAAACAGCAAGCAACACATAACTGATTTGCATTATTTGGAATATCGATAGCAATGGAATTACAAACCAATTTCAAAGTTGAAAAGGCTGGATGACGTAATCTCCTATGCCAAAGCTCAAACGAGTTACAATGATTATGAACTGCATAAGCCTTAGCATTATTACAAGCATTCAACTGGCTATCCAAAGTAAAGGTATAAAGTCCCCCTTTCTGCCTTCCTCGAAGAAGAACATTGCCTGTCGCTTCATCTCAAACACAAAAGGTATCAACATTAAACTCGAAGAAGATGTGATTATCTCTAGCAGGATTTGACACGGAGAGAAGGTGTTTAGTGATTTTAGGAACATGTAACAGATCAGTAAGCAACAAGGTTTGGGAAGAATACCTTAAAACATATCACCATATTGATTGAACATTAAGAGAGGAACCATTTACAACCAAGAGATTACCTGGTCCATCAAGATCAGTGGGATGAGCGATGTGAGCAGCATCAGGAGTGACATGATGCGTCGCCCCCGAGTCCACGATCCACTGAGCACGAGATGATTTAACACTTGTAGGAGTAGTAGCATCACCTTGTGTAGCCATTAAACTGGCCCCAGACTTATTAGCAAAGCACGTACAAACAATACTATCAAGATTAACATAGTTGACGCTGCTCGAATCTTCCTTGTATTGTGATCGAGCATTAGTGGCAAGGATTCCTGCAAAATCACGGTCAAACCTGTACCATCATCGATCAACTGAATGTCCAACCTTACCACATAACTGACATTGCAGCCGTGCATGACCTCTGCCACCAGCTCGACCACCACGAATTATTGTGGACTGCTGTTTGAATTCACTAGTGGTGTCAGAACCAGTAGATCGACCATGGATTTGTCCATGAACAACATTAGCACTCATAGGGAGATTTTCAGCCTGCGAATCGAAGCCAGCTAGTTTTGTCTCTACATCAACAAGCATAGAGTAGACTCGATCGAGTGACAGTGTGTCAGGACTCGATGTTATGACAACCGGGATGCCACATGATACGAGTGCATCACAGATTTCTTTGATCCGAGTGAGGTACACACGCATAGAGTCATCACCCTTCCTCAGTGATTGCAACTTATAATGCAAGTTCAACACTGTAGTAGCGTATTTGTTAGCAAAGAACTGAACAATTGTACTCCATACAGCTGCAACAGTCTCAGATCCAACGAATTGTGGCAGGAGAGGAGCACTAATCGTCGATAAAAGCCACGAGGCGAGAGCACTATCCTGTGCCATGTAGTCCTCAAACGTCTCGTTAACAACCGACGTACCTTCAGCATTGACAGTAAACTCAGGCGGAATAGGCATCGTGCCATTGAGAAGCCTCTCCAGACGATGGCTGCGCACCGTAAGCAGAACCTGATGCCTCCACTGTAGGTAATTCGTCTCGTCTAGCACCACATTAATCTTTTTCTTGGTAAACATGATGCTCAACAACAACTAAGAGATTAAGCAACAAGAAGCATAGGAACCCCAGGACCTTTAGCGAAAGATACCATGTTAAGAAATGAGAATTAACTCATAAAACAATTACTGTAATTCATTGATAAACCAGTGCAAATGTACATGATTTATATAACATCTGGTTGCTGAGCTAGGAAGTAACATGCTTAACAGAATTTGACAATTATAACCGTGTAACAACACCCTAACAGCCTATGGACTTGATTGCCTACAACACAGTGTATACTACTAACTATGAGCTTAACTTCAAGCTTCTTGAATCTTCTCCATGCACACCATGCATTACGCCTGCAGCCTGATCATTCTTCCAACATGGTGTAAATGAATCAAACATTGTGTTTGGGTTCTTTTATTTATTTTTAAGGTATTCCATTTGTGTTCATTTAAATTTTTAATATCTTGTTTGTTTATTTATTTTTAATGTGTTCGTGTTCGTTTGTTTAACATTCACGAAAATATTTGTTTAACGTTAGGTTATATGTTTGCAATATATTC